CAGACCAGCTACACGGGTGGCAGACCAGCTACACGGGTGGGTGGCAGACTGTAGAGTAGGGTTGCACATGGGTAGACAAGACCAGGGTGATAGAGACCAGTTACCTCGAGAGTATATATTTTATGTTAGACGCTTCAAGAACGAGAACGAGGTTAGAAACGCACATTATTTTCTGGACTTTAATTGACGGGTAGCTTAAGCCGGGCTTAGGTCGGGTTGTGATTGAATGTGACGTGACGAGGTGCACTGCAACTCACTGCGACTGAGTGATTAGGTCGACGGCGACACGACTGACAGCGACTGCCTGCGACCAGTCGCCGCCAGTCGCAGAAGGCGCTTAGGTCGAAGCGACGATCGCCTATTGATCGCGCAACTAAATGAGTTTACATGATTTGTTGCTGTGTGCATGTTGTGTACATGACTGTATGCACTGATTGTTTTATTCGCGTGCATTGTTCATTATGCATGCGAATCTCGTCGCAGTGATCGCAGTGCAGCTGATGTCGGGTAAAACAATGCTTGCGAACGGTGGAACTAGTCACGTCACGTCGCAAAAGTAGAACATGTGCGACTCGCTGCGACTAACAATTTTCCAGTCACTGAGCGTCGCAGACCCGTTGCAGACAGTTGCAGGGGTGCTTAGGGCGAACTTTCTCTGCGAAGCGATCTTTGCTGCGACTTGCAACCAGTTGCAGAAAATCAGTCCCAGGCAATCGCGTCGCGTCGCAAGGCCGACCTAAGCCCGGCTTTACGTACGCAAGTAGATGGTACACGCCAAACAACAGGTGGCAAATAGTTTTCTAACTAGATATGGACAAGTGTTTAACCTAAATTATGCAAATTAGGTAGATTTTGGCAATTTCACTATGCATTTCAGTGTCTGCCTATGGTCAACGATAACTCAAGAACCGTTTGACCCACATGTTTCAAATTGAATACACTTGTTACTCCTATGGGAGATGTTTGAACGTCCTATTTTGGAGCACGCCACTCGACCTACTTTCGAGCCACGTCCACTTTTTGGCAAACATGGAAATGGCCATAAGTCAATTCAGGTTCAACAGATTTTGCTTATTTCTAGTATGTGAATGAATAAGGACTGGCCCCAAAACATATCACACGGGCTTTGATATTTTTTTTAATTATGCAAATTAGGTAGATTTTGGCAATTTCACTATGCATTTCAGTGTCTGCCTACGGTCAACGATAACTCAAGAACCGTTTGACCCACATGT